CACAATGGTAGACAGTAGTATCGAAGGTTGATACAAAGTGACAAGTTTACAGAAGTTATGTCGGAGATTTGAGTAAAGAATTTTCGTTCGGCACAAGATTCAGCGACGGTAAAATTTACCGCTTCCAATGCATTCAAGCGTAATATTTAATTTATGTCAGCACAAAAAGCACCAAGATTTTATTAAGAGGCCACTCCCGTTATGTTATGTCCGAGATTTGAGTAAAGAATTTTCGATCGACGCAAGATTCAGCGACGGCCAAATTTACCACTTCCAATGCATCCAAGCGTAATATTTAATTTATCTCAGCACAAAAAGCAACAAGATTTTATTAAGAGGCCACTCCCGTTAAGCGGTCAGTTGTGAAAATTCCCTTGGGTGGCTGCTTAATGCAGATTCTACTGTAGTAGGATTTACAAATATATTGTTCACGTGATTAGACACGGTCATTTTACTATCAAAATAAGAGCCAATATTGCGAACGGAGTTAATAGGAGTAATTTCATTTCCATTAATATTAATCGAAGTGGATTCAGTTATGGTATTGAGGTTATGATTAGATCCAATCAAACTAAATTCAGTTTTATCACCATTTAAGCATAGGAAATTTACAGACATCCATAATTTAATTTCATTGATACACTGCTCAATATTAGATTTGCTCAAAGCATGCTCATTCACGTTTCAAGGATTAAAAGTTAAATACAACTGGGTATCATCGACATAAATACGATAGTGAAGACCATGTCTTTTAACCATGTCTTTTAACAATTTTACCAACTGGAGCAGTGTAAAGAGTAAATTAAATCGGTCCAAAGATCTACCCTTGTGGTACTCCATATAAATTATTATGGTAGTCTGACGTCACATTGCCGATAACAACCCTCTGTTTTCTATTAGTAAGATAGCTCTCAAGTAGCTGGAGTGCAGAGCTTTTGACACCAAAGTCTGTCTGAAGTCTTTGTAGCAGGACAGTAGAATCTATCATGTCAAAGGCTACAGACAAATCTAAAAGTACCAAAAGAACACAGTTTTTATTGTCTATTGACCGTAATATATCAAGAGCCGTCTCAACACTGTGAAACTCAAGATATGCACTTTGTAGACTATCATGAAGGTTGTGTGTGTCAATATGTTCAATCAGTTGTCTGGCTATACATTTTTCAAAAATTTGGGAGATAAAATTCAAGTTTGATACAGAACGGTAATTTTCTATCTACAGTTGATTTTTTAATAACTGGGACGACATTAGCAACTTTAAAACAATCGGGTACTTTTCTTTCTTGCATACAAGAATATATGATATCAGTAATCACAGGTAAGAATAAATTAAGGTTTTCTTTTAGTAAAGATGTAGGGAGGGAGTCAACAGATTTGTTAACTAAATCGAAATTGTCAGTGCACTGTGCACTATAAACGACACTACACTTGCCATATTATCAATACACAAAGATAGTTAGATGACCCTTCTCAATCTGTTATTCCATTTACCAACAAAATTTATTTGTACTGTTAATTCTAACGTATATTGAGATATTTTTTCGTATTTCATTTTTACGTTCTATTTCAGAGTAATGAATTTAAATCCACATGCAGAAAGAAAGGTGCCGTACGATGGCTACAGGAAAACGAGATACAGTTGGCTACTCTGATAACGGATCATCATTTACAAATCGCGTTTCAATCATGTTTGACTTTTATGATACATTTTATATGACCACATCTTTTTACTCAGGGAAAATTAGAACCACAATACTCTTCTGACAAAAACATATCTGAAATTGTTTGGACTGCATATGATGGAAGTCATTTTAAAACACAATATTAAAATCGCTGTCGTGAGAAGAGAGGGCGGGACATTATAGAACAATCTAAATTACAAAACAAATTATTTTGTAGTCAATTGTTTTATTTAATTAGGGGATTAAGGAATCAGTCAGGCGTTAATGAATACACACACCTGCTGTATATAGGTAATTAAGGAATAAACATTCCGAATATGCATTCGGTCACTGTGATGTCACTGGCGCCTGAGGGGAATAAGAGTGTTTTCGATAATTTGCAAAGTGGTTTTTACGGGAGGTCTATGTTTGCGACTTTGAGTGAAGATAGCTAAATTAATTTCAATCAGAATGGTGTGAACTTGCTGTAAAGTGGATATAGTAAGCATTGGCTACACATACCGAAAAGTTTTCATGTCCATCTTATGTGCCCTTTAAGGTTCGATATCAAACAATCAAGGCACTCAAAAGAGTTGAATACCCTATTAGACTGCAAAAATATTTTTAAATTATTTATAGAAAAGGCCAACGCCACCACCCCTAGATGCAAGTGGAATGTGTAGAAAACTGTAGCCTTCTGGAAGTATAGCCGAAATGGTCACTGAATCTGAGTTTTGGCTGAGCCATGTTTCAGTAATTGAGCACAGATCTAATTCCTCATCCGCAATAAAATCATTTATGTCGCTGGTTTTATTCCTAACAGATCTAGCATTAAAGATACATTATGGAAGATTCGATAACGAGTTGGCAGTTCTCAATTAGTTAAAAACTAGATAATATAATAGCAATTTGCTGAAAATTTCATTTAAATTGATCCACTATGAACCGAGAACTAAGCGATTGAAATTTCCGCCTAGCCTCGATCATCATTACTAAAGTCAGTATGATGAACAGCATAGTCTCAATTATCCATTTAATCGTTAAATCGTGAAGGAAAGTTATGCAGTAAATAGGCTCATAATCTACTAAAGATCACAGGCCATGCCATCTAGAGTTGATTATGGGCTGGATTGGATAAGTTAATTAATATCTAATTAATAATTTAGATAACATTTCAGGCCTAAAGAAAGACCTGCAATAGACAGATTTAGCTCTTGTATAATTTATGTTTAATTAATCCTGCTTTTAAATATTTGCTAATTTGATGTGAAACTGGGACTTTAATAAGGTTCTTCAGTCCAAGTTGACCTCTTGGCTGGCTGCTCTGTCTGTCAGAGATGAGTACAGGAATACCGCAGACATTCTTTCGTCTGTTTAGTATTACTATATATTTGTTTCTTTAATTTAATTGGAATTGTCTCTAATTTGATTGGAATTGTCTCTTTAATTTGATATAGGAGAGTTAGTCCAATTAATGTTCACTACACAGTCTAGTTTTATTCTGAGTTCTTTTCACAGTTACCTTTCAAGTTTATATTATTGACAAATACACAAAATTAAAATGTTAATTCATCATAAAAACTACCTTAAAAGATGCACCATAAAGTTCCAGACGTTTTTAGTACTAAAATTAGTCCAATTAAAATCCATAAATCAACACTAAATGTGACCAAGGGGAATCAACAATAAACATGTTGTAGTTCTTGTCAATGATTTTATTTTCACAAAATTAAACATAACAAAAAAAAAAGGTGGAGGTAACAACCCTGAAAATACAAAAAAGGCAACATTAATAAATTTGTTACATCAAGTTGATAAGAGATGGGGCAAACGACCACTCAACAAAATCTGAGCATTCCAGGACACGCACAAATTGACCTGCACATATGGGATCTTAACAATGGTACATTTATAGGAACCGGAATGCCCTGATAGAACCTACAAGACTAGGCAGACAACCCCAATCCTGTCACATACAAGTGCAGGATTCAGAACATGCCACCTGAGTTATTGACAGACCCTACGATGCAAAGCTCACGCGTCAGACCACTTGGCGACCCAAATCCCTTAATTTGTTAACAAATATTTACATAATCAAACAACATGAAGGAGGGTTGACAAACATTAATTGCTGCAGATGCCACATGTCCCTGTATAGTACTAGCAATGCTAAAGCTCGCTAGAGGCACCACTGATACTATTTTTATCAATGTAAAAAAAACTGACCGTAAAATGTGTCGTTTTTGTTCCGTGACTTTGGGTAGTTGTACGAACACCAACATTGACGACTTTACACTTTTCGTGTTAAGGGCGAATACAGAGTTTGTGTCGAGCGTGGTTTGGACATTCAGAAACATATTTACGACTTATTTCTTATATTTTGAAAAAATAAAATTATCAGGAAAAGGCAAAAACGGCGCTCGTCGCTGAAAGTAAACATATTTTCTCATAGAAAGACCCCTATAACAAAGGAAATAAATTATATAGCACAAAATTTAAATTCCAATAAATAGTTAACGGTTGGATGGATGTTTCCTGAAAATTTAATGCCTATATCTTCAATGGTTGCTGAGAAATTGTCTTCGGTCACTTTTTTTGCAAATTTTAAAAAAAAGTGTATACTGACATCGATCAATTTTGGGTCATAAAAGTGCAATAACATTCTTATTTCTTAATCGATTTTGAATTTTTGGGGTGTTTCTTAAATGGGAGAGGGGTTGGAAAACTAATAAATATTCAATTTTAGTCAGATTAAAAAATTTAAAAAAGCTTTTGCATTGCTAATAGTACTCGAAAACCCTGTGACATTTACATGTACATAAATTGACTATTTAACGATTAAATTAAATATTGAGAATTACACTCAACAAGTAACTATACGACATGAACACCGGTAAGCTGTCTATTTAAGCCTGTATACTACAAACTCCAAACACATGGCTAATGATGAAACAGGGGTCATAAAAGAGTTGTCTCCCCGTAATCATAATACGCATGGATTTCGGATAGGAAGATGCTAATTGTAGGCCGGTTGGGTAGGTTCGGGTGTTTCCGGAATCCAAAATGGCCGCTTTATATAAATGGAAATTTTTGGGAATACTAACCCTAATCCTAACCCTTTTTAGAAGACTGAACTTGGATCTAATTTAACGTTTACCCCTCTTAAAACGGTTAGGGTAAGAGTTCGGGTTAGTATTCCCCAAAATACTCATTTATGTAAAGCGGCCATTTTGGGCTCCGGAAATTCCCGAACCTGCTAATTGTAGGCCGGTTGGGGAGGTTTGGGTGTTACCGGAATTCAAAATGGCCGCTTTATATAAATGAAAATTTTGGGGAATACTAAACATATACATTGCTATTATAGTAATACGGTCAAAGAACCATATTACACCATATTTATTATTATATATTACAGGAGTCATATTAAACCTCATTTATTATTATTATATATTACAGGAACTGCAGCCAGAACAGTGGCATCAACCAATATGAATGCTACTAGTAGTCGAGCCCATACTGTCGTAACTATCACCTTTGATCAGATCATCAAAAACGCTATTGGATCTGAAACTAAAAAAAGTAGTATTTTAAATTTAGTAGATTTAGCAGGTATGTGGATTATATAAATTGGATTATATGTGCAGAATATTTTTCAAAAATGATTAAAACTATAATTTTATTTCCTTGTGAAAAATATCCAATTTACCACAACAAATGTCCTTCATTTCTTAAAATCAGAGTTAATACATTTTTAATTTAAACATGTTTGTTCTATAAAACATAATATAAGAATCTGTGCTTCAATTAACACCCATAATTTTACAGTGATTCATGTTATATTGTAAAGTGTCCCTGAAGACACTGGTGAAAGAAAAACATTTATTTTTCAGTAAATACTACTACTAGGCTACTGATAATAGAAATATAGATATATTAAATAATTATTTGAAATAAGCTAATAATAAGAATAAATTAAATAATTATTTGAGATGAGCCCATATTTGATTCTTTAAAATGAATTTAATTCCTGCATTCTATAGGGTCTGAAAGAGCTGATAGTACTGGGGCTACAGGTGATAGATTAAAAGAAGGTGCCAATATTAACAGATCACTCTCAGCTCTCGGAAATGTCATTTCTGTAAGTATTGAAATATTGTACTTGTCCATTGAAGATAGACAACAAATAGTAAACTAGACTGCAAATGCACTGGCCAACTCAAACTTATTTTTTTATATATATTTATTAATGTAGGCTCTAGCTGATATATCTATGGGTAAGAAGAAAGTATTAATACCTTACAGAGAATCAGTTTTAACAAAACTTCTACAGAATGCTTTAGGTGGAAACAGGTAGGTGTGAAAAAATACTATTTTCTTTCATAGATAAATGTGCACAATATTAGAAATAAAATAATCCTTAGAAAGCAAGGTTTTTGATCACTTACATTGTTGTTTTCAGCAAAACTGTTATGATAGCAGCTCTGTCACCAGCAGATATCAATTATGACGAAACTTTATCCACATTACGATATGCTGATCGAGCTAAAAAAATAAAAAATCAAGCTGTTGTTAATGAAAATCCTTTGGATAAATTAATCCGGGAACTGAAGGTAAATGTAATAATGTAGAAGCAATTTTTGATTTGAAATTTCCTAATTGTGAGTGAATTTTATAGTGGTTGCTTTATCTGATGTGTAGATTGTCCAGTAGAGTGTTTCACTGGATGGTTTATCTGACATGTAGATTGTCCAGTAAAGTGTTTTACTGGATGGTTCATATAATATGTAGATTGACTAGTAGGGCTTTTTATTGGATGGTTTATCTGATGAGTAGATTGACTAGTAGAATGTTTTACTGGATGGTTTATCTGATACGTACATTGTCTAGTAGAATGTTTTACTAGATGGTTTATCTGATACGTACATTGTCTAGTAGAATGTTTTACTAGATGGTTTATCTGATACGTACATTGTCTAGTAGAATGTTTTACTAGATGGTGTATCTGATACGTACATTGTCTAGGGGAGTGGTTTACGGGATTATCTGGTAATGTGATTACTATTATAACTACTGTTATATTTTAAGGAAGAAAACGAAAGATTGAAGGGTAAAATGGATGGCGGAATGACACCAATGCAATCTGAAGGAATGTCACAAGCAGGTATTATCTATATTGTATTTAAATATTATAGCCAAGACTATTGACTTAAAGGGTCAGTTTCAGATTTCAGTTTAATAATGAAATGGGTATTAGTATACAAATGCCAAGAAATAGTTTATCTGAAAGTTTTAGTTATAAATATTGAGATGATTTCAGTGATTTCTGGATTTGATAATGAATGAGTGACTTATGTAAACTCAACAATAACTTACCAGACACATGGGCATAGCTCCTTTAATCAACGTGGTAAAACATTTTTTGAGAAAATATTTTTTTCTAAGTATTTATTATCTATAGAAATGGTTAAGATGAGAGCCAAAATGGAAGAAGAAATAAAAGCTCAACTGTTGCAAAATAATCAACTGTTATTACAGAACACACAGAACTGGGATGAAAAGGTAATAAAATAAGTTTATAAATATGAACAAATTAACTACCTTAAGGTCTCTGAACATCATTTGAGGGATTTTGAATCCTGTGCAAACTAATATATTGTGAATGTTGGATCTCTATAGGGATATTAGTCCAAAAATGGTTCAATTCCATTCAGCATTTACAAAGATATGAAATTCCTTCATATTTTGATTTTGTTTCGTTAATTAAATGATAATTTTTCAATTGGAATACATTTTGGCGTGGATTAAAGTCCTGATGCGCCATTTTAAGCAATAGGAATCCCTTACAAGTTACACTATTGTGAAAGGTGAATCTCTAACAGGAATACCGCCGTTTGCTATGTAATGAGCCTACCGCCATATTGTCCGATTTTAAAAAACATTCAAAATAGATCACTGATAGAACCTAATGACGGTTGAGTTCAAATTTCGGGAAAATCAGACGGAAACTGTCTGAAAAAATGGCCGCTCCTCATACGCAAATAGTGTAAAAGTATGTAATAGCAAGGTTGTGGACCCTTTATAGGTCACAAATTTTATCCGATTTGATGAAACTTAAAACATATGTTAATATTGTCGCATATCGAACAGTAACATCCTAGATTACAGCCCCTGATTGTACAAAAAGTACCTTATTTAGCTTGTTCTCTGAACTCCGATTGAATCCAAGCCCGGAGGTTATCTATCCCTGGTGTTTTGATTGTGTTTTCTTAATTAAATCTGAGTACATCTCAACAGGGATTATCCCTTGGCAAAATGTGAGCATATCTTGCATTGCAACGACGTGTTTTAACTTTGATTGAATACAAAGCCCGGAGGTTATCTAGCCCTGGTATTTTGATTGTGTTTTTTTAATATTTTTTTTTTTTTATTTATAAACAATTTTTTTATTCAGGATGTCTGAATGGGATTGGGGAACAGCCTTAGCCTAATTAAATCAGAGTACATCTTAACAGGAATTATCCCATGGCAAATTTGATATTTTAGCGAAAAATGAAAATGGCGCATTGTTACTTTAAAGACCACATAAGATGAAAAATCTAAATTTCATATACATATAGCCAATGGTTAGGCTACTATATCCACTTTACGTCAAGTTCACACCAATCTGATTAAAATTAAGTCGGTTGTTAACGTTTAAGTATCTGACACGCCAAAACGCTTTTCAATTACGGCCATAATCTGGTTGATGTCACAGGCACTACACATAGTATATACATTATCTATACAATATATCACTCTCTGTACAATATAGCACTATCAATACACACCACCAGTTGACAAGCGTCTATTGACGGTCCAATTACCATGTGACTGGCCTAATCATAATCTCAGAATTATTGTGTTACATTGTTATAGATTAGACATTTATGATTGGAATATTTTAGAGTGAATTTAAAATGCCGTATCATGCCGTAGATCCATTTAAGCTGCCTTTGTTTAAATAGGCCACGTGTCAAATGAAGAGGACCAAAGCAATAAGCGCATTTACCGGTAATTTGGATAACCCCGTAATACTTGATATCACAAACTATTCTCTATAGAATTTACAAATGGTGCCAGTCATTTATCGATATATATTCATTGTTAGCTATACATAATAATAATAACCATTTCTATACACAAAGAACAACTTTTATCATAACTCTATTTGAAATTCACAGCGAATATGAAATTTTCCGATAACTATGCATAACAATAGATCGCCCTCGTTTATCAGCCAATCAACGCTGGGGATCTTATTATAACTGACTGATGTGACGAGTGATAACAGATACACGGCCGAATTTCTGCTCAGTAATAATTTCTTCGAAGAACAAAAGTTGTTATATGGGACTGTAAGAGGATACCTGACAATTCAATAAAGTAATTGAATGTCATTAGATAAGAGAACACGAGAAAAATAGAAATAGTCTGTACATTCCCTTGTTTATATTCATTCTATACCTTATAAAAACATGGTAATGCACAGACTTTTTCTGTTTTTCTTTCGTGTTCACTTATCTAGTGGCAGTCAATTATTTTTATTAATTGTCAGATATCCTCTCACAATCTCACACAACAACTTTTGGTCTTCAAATAAATTATTAGTGAGCAGAAATTCGCCCGTATAAACGTTATCACTCGTCACATCAGTCAGTTATATAGAGAAATGACTTGTGTTTTCCTTTGGCGTTCGTCACTTCCGATTCCGGAAACCTGTATTACTCGGCTATCGTAGCAATGATCTGTGTTAAAATTATATTTGGAATGTGTTTAACCAGCTCTATCACATATGCGATAATGACTGGCACCAATATTGTCCTTTAAACGCCAATCAACAAATAATACGAGGCTACTTGATTACAAAAACACCGGTGAGCAATAATTATTGGGTAAATAATAATTATAAACAACTGATGAGTAAAACGTAATTATTTTATACAATTAATGTGTGTGTGTACAATTCTACCACTAGTTCCTTCGTGGGGTATTACGCACACGTTCCACCTAGAGTGATGTCTTTGATCTGGCCGGCGTAAAAAAAGATAATTAACTAATCAGCATTCTTAATCCCACTAACAATCACTGCTTACAACGAGGTGTAAATTTACTTATGACCCCATGTCTGTATAACTTTAGTTGGATTGATTAATTAATGACAGATATTATCGACACTACACTTGCCATATTATTATCAATACACAGAGATAGTTAGATGAACCTTCTCAATCTGTTATTCCATTTAGATGGTTACCAACAAAATTTATTTGTACTGTTAATTCTAACGTATATTAAAATATTTTTTCGTATTTCATTTTACGGTCTATTTCAGAGTAATGAAGTAAAATCTGCATGCAGAAAGAAAGGCGCCATATGATGATAACGGATCGTCATTTACAAATCACGTTTCAATCATGTTTGAATTTTATGATACATTTTGCATGACCACATCTTTTTATACCTGTACTCTTTTACTCAGGGAAATTAGAACCATAATACTCTTCTGACGAAAATGTATCTCGAATCGTTTGGACTGCTCACGAAGGTAGAGGGTATTAAAATCGCTGTCGTGAGAAAAGAGAGCAACCGTACATTATGAAACAAATTCTAAATTGGATCTTAAATTAAAATGAATTACAAAACAAATTATTCCGTAGTCAATTGTTTTATTTATTTAGGGGGATTAGGAATCAGTCAGGCGTTAATGAATAGACACGCCGGCTGTATATAGGTAATTAAGGATATTAAGGAATAAACATTCCAAATATGCATTCGGTCACTGTGACGTCACTGGCGTCTGAGGGGATTAAGAGTGTTTTCAATAATTGGCAAAGTCGTTTTTACGGGAAGTCTATTTTTACGACTTTGAGTGAAGATAGCTGAATTAATTTCAATCAGATTGGTGTGAACTTGCTGTAAAGTGGATATAGTAACCATTGGCTACACATATCGAAAAGTTTTCATATCCATCTTATGTGCACTTTCAGAATAGATACTGTTCAAAAATTCAAATACCGATCAGTGACTTTATTGACTGCTGCTTCAATTATAACCCAAACGCCCTTCTCTTAAAAAGGCATTATCATTTGAGATTTCATGGTTGAGTAATATTGTATTTAAAATAATACTAGATTCGCTTAATTATCAAAAAATCAAGCCAAGACTTAAGAGTTAGATAGTTCTCTAGATCGTTTATTAAACTTCATGAAAACAAACACAAATTTTAGATGAGAATGCTGAATTTTAAAACAGCTATATTTTAGTGATGAATTTGTTTCATATTTAGCATCTAATTTGAACGCATCCATTGTAGCTGTAAGAGTAAGGGCAGTTAGAAAATTATTTTTTACCATTTGAATAAATTATACATTCATTTAAAGAATAGAAGTGCAGTAGTTGTTAAGATTTATGTTGGATTGTTTTTAGCTTTCTGAAGCTCGAACAGAAACAGATGCTATTCAGGTTGCTGATAATCGTGAATATTCTCGAAGATCTAGGGAACC